TTAAAAGGGCTACCCTGAATTGTTAAGGTTATTGAAAATCATTTTCTCTTTGTGTACATGGTCTGTACATTTTCTACAACGCATAGACTTTAGTTTCTTAATGAGAAAAAAGTTACGAATATTGTACACTGTATGGTTCTAAAGGGGTACTCTCTTGAGCAAAGGGTTTGTAATTTAGAGTAAATGCAGGTCCACCTTTCAGTAGTGACTCATCTTGTGCTAGGATGATCCTAGTGAGTGGTTTCCTTGGATCACAGCAAATGAAAACACAGGGAAGGCAGAGAAAGCAGTATGGGCAGATAATGAGCCATTAAAGACCTAACAGCGATTTTCTGGATTGTTCTTTTTTCCCTTTCATTCTTCTTTCACATTGATATGGACATTTCCCTTTGCATGATGTAGACAATGAGTTGATTCTTACTGATATTCCTGAATAACTAAGGTAATAAACATACACTCCCTGAATGTTTCCTACTGAAGTAACTACTGGGGGTAATCATAGAATATTTCCTGTAACATATCAAAGATCAAAGTTAGCCCTCATGCAATTTTTAGGAAGATGAACTACTGGGTACATTTTACATATGTAGAACTTTAAGCCACAATGGGATTTCCAAGAATATATCTGGAAAAAAATGACTATTCTTCAAGAGTTCTTTATCCATGTTTAAGAAACTGCTAAGAAACAGAAGTGGGGACTAGTAAAGAGCACCATAAATAAAACTTTCACTCTAAATACAGTCATTGGAGTTCAGGCCTGGTAAGGCTGTAGAGATCTTCTCTAGCCCAAGCCTGAGATGAGACTTGCCCCCGAGTTCTCTGCCGACCATCTGGATTATGGGTTCCTCCCATCACTTTGCCAGCATGCAAGTGGAAGAGGGCAACTGCATTTACTTTAGGCTGAAGATCTATCCTTCTCTCTCATGGCACCTTCACTGAAAGTAAAGTGGGGGGACAGGAAACTAGGCTTCAGCTTTGGGTAGATTATGTGGACAAGAATATGAAATAGAATTTACTTAGGATATTTGTTCTTTTTAAATGAAAATTATATAAACTTATTTTAACATTTATTTCTGCGACCCATTTTTTTTTTTTTTTAAAACTGGATTTCTGTGACTAATTAAATGATGAACTTGGATGGAGCAGAAGAGGCCCCCATGGGATAGATTAGGGAGGTGTTGGAATGTTTGATTATGTGGACAAGAATATGAAATAGAATTTACTTAGGATATTTGTTCTTTTTAAATGAAAATTATATAAACTTATTTTAACATTTATTTCTGCGACCCATTTTTTTTTTTTTTTTAAAACTGGATTTCTGTGACTAATTAAATGATGAACTTGGATGGAGCAGAAGAGGCCCCCATGGGATAGATTAGGGAGGTGTTGGAATGCTTAACAAATTACAGTAGAACTGGTGGTACACGACTCAGGTAACTGAGAGGCTGCAGTCTGATCGCACATGCCAGCACCAGCTCACCAATATCTTCCAGTGACCACTCATTTCCTTGTAACTCCACTGGGTGTGATGAGCAGAGTGTCCAGGATCATCTATCATCCTGTTGGACTTCTTTGCAGCCTCTCTATTTCCTGGCTGGGTTATTTATGTAACTTTATTCCACATGGGAAAGCCCAGCTGTTAAAGTTTTAGAATCGAGTAGGAACATATTTTTATTAGATCTTTCATCTTGTCTGCAATGTTTTCCTTGGTTTAAGTAATGATAGCAGCACGTCAGCTCCTCCACCGTAACTCACTTCCCTGTATGTGCTTTTGGGGGGTAGAATGCTCTTTTCAGTTTTGGAGTTCCAGGAGTCTTATATCAAGTTAAATATGAAATCAATGTGTGGAATGTCTACTCACATGTGAGTTTTAACTCATACACCTGGGGTGGGACCTGCAGAAGTAAAACTACAGATCTAGTTTCAGATTGGTGATGTCAAGAGGGAGACAAGAGAGTTTAATAGATTAAAAGGTTTAAGATAGAGATCTCTATAAAAAGGGGAAACCCTGGAGAAGCAAATTTAAAGGGGAAGAATTCTGTTTGTCTAGTAAGTTTGAGATTATCAGAGGAAATCCAGGTTGAATTCAGAGGGCTTGACAACTTCATAATGTATGAACTTGGTTAAGTTATACAACACTTCCTATATTGGTCTTCCCTCTACAGTTTTGGTTGGTGTGGGTCACAGCAGTCTTGGTGATTAGCCCAGCAGATGCAGATTGGAAATCATTTTCTAGTGCATACACAGCACAGATCTGCTGATTATTCTCATGTGTTTGAGGAAGCAGATAAGCCTACTTCACCCCCCCCCTTCTTTAGTCACGTTGACACCTATGCCAGATGTGGTTAGCTTCAAGATAGAGGATTTCTTTCCCAAGAACATGCATATACCAATGTCAGAACAAGACCTGATACAGGTTTCAGTCTGAAGTGTTCACAGCTCCAACATTTGACAGCCTACTATAATAGCTCCTAAAATTATGTAAAGCCAAATCCTTTGCACAACTCAGCCAGCCTCTTCTGGGGCTTGAAGCCCTGCCTAACTCAGATCTTCAGATCATTTTTTAAAAAATTTCCAATTTACACAATTCTTTCAGTATGATTGATTCTCCTTACTCATTTTTCTATCCATTTCTCTACCACCTTGAATCTTATGGACTTCTCTGCTTGGGTCTTTGACTACGCTGTTCCTTCTGTTTCTTTGGTCATGCTTTATCTAAACAGCGTACCCATCAACTTCTTGGAGTGGACTTCTGTGACTACCCTGTGTAAATTTGTTCTTCTGTCCTAGAGGTTGTATATGCATTTCATTGAGTACCTTTACTGTACATATCAAATGAAGAGTTCATGAATGAATGGAATAGGCAATGTAGAGGGCTTTAGCTTGTGGTTGATAATGAGGCATCAATCTCATTCTTAGGAGGCCTGAAGATTATGTTAAATTCTCTTATTTCTGCTCTCTATGGTAGGTCAAAGCAATTGCTTAGGGTTCAGGGACCATCTCCATAGTAGTCTACAAATTTCTATTATCTGCAGCTATATTAAATTAGACTTCTTTGAAAATACTTGATTGAAATACTGAAAAACAAAAACAATCCTAACATTTTTTTTAGAACTATCACCATACTTCAAGCTTTGACTTATGTAAAGATAAGAACAATGATCCATTAAAAGGGCTGCTGACTCATAAAACTAGTTTTCAAAAAACTCACCTGTTTATCACCATATTTTGTTTGCTCTACAACTTTCATATTGCAAACTTACTAAGAACCTATTTTACAAATCATACTTATCATCCATGACTTACTAGAGGTCTTATTAGTACCATCAGTTTAAAAAAAATGAGTAAACACTATTTCTATCAAGTAAAATCAAAGATAATACTACCTCTGGCCTGTCAGGAGTCCTATATCACCAATTCTGACCACTTTCTTAAATTTCTTAAATTTCTAAGATCCATCCTCCCATTTTATTGACTGCAGATCAGTGTTAACATTTGGATACTACACAGCAATCTTTCTCTGGTGCTGGACTTCATGAAATCTTTTATGCTTCGAATGCGTATTTCTTTTTACAGTTTAATCTTTGCACATCACTTTTCCAGTATTTAGCCTAGGATGAGTAGTTTATCAAATACACTGTGAGAGGCTGATAAACTCCAGGTCTGAGCACTTGGCAGTAAGCCTTAGACTTCCACACATTTGTTCCAGGCTACTTCCCTTGTCAAATAAAGCTGTAACAGCAGTGTCTGGTTATTACACTATTCCTGAGTGTTCTCAACCTCCACAATGAGTACGAAGTAACTTATCCTAATTTACAACATTTATGTTTTTCCTTTTTCCTATGCCCCATCCTCAATTTTGTTTTGGTTAAGGACATCCATATAAATCCTCTGAACTGAAAAGATTTTGCTTTCTTGGTAATGTTAAGTTCAATATTCTATCACAGTGCCATTTTGAGTTCTTTTGACAGAAATGTAGCAATTTGTACTATAGTCTTATATCAAGCAGAGGAAGTCATACAATATGTACTAAAATCAACACCAGAGTGTTTTCCTATTCACTTTACTGTTTTGAGTTTCAAGCCTAAGACCAAAAATATTATAATTCACTAATTAGAAAAAAAAGTATCTTTCTAAAAACAGGTTTGAAAAAGGTTTGTTTGTGTTGATTCTAACCTGGGAAGATTACAGAAGGAAGAACATGTTCTTGAAAGTAAAGCACACGTTTTGCTATTTTTTTCCAATAAATAGTATTAACTAGATGATGCCTAGACATTAGACAAAAGTTGATAGCTATTTGTCAAAATGTTTGGCCCTCAGCTAAAATTATGAAATTATCAGTAATTAACAATTACCACTTTACTGCCAATCAGATTTTGATTATGTCTATGACAATTCAAGACTTCATATCCAAAACTAGCTGAATCAGTGTTATGGGCTGAATCTAAAATAACCTCACAGGTTCCTTTTACATGCACGTTTCCCAGCTTCGTGGTTACTCAGGGAGGCTGTAGAACCTTCTAGAGGTAAGTGGGGCCTGTCTAGAGAAGTATACCACTAGGGAAAGAGCTTTGAAGGTTACAGCTTAATCTAGCCTAGTTTCCGCTCTCTCAGCTTTCTGGTCTACCTTGATTTGAGTCGCCCCCAGCACACATTCACACCATGAACTCCCCTACACCTTCACTGCCACTGTAGCCTGAAGCCCTCTGAAGACGAGGGTCTAATTAAAACAGAAAAGAAAACAAAAACACAAAATTTTCCTTTTTTCTGCCAGGTATTGTGGTTATCATAACACAAACACCATTAACAGGGATATTTAGAGCCTTAAAACTAGCAGCAAGGAGATACAATGAATCATTTAAGATGCAAAACAAAAACCAGTATCACCTCCAAAGTAATCTTGGCAAGCTACACACTAATGTAGACAGGAGTTAAACTGTCAAAGCTCATCTTCTTAAACCCTTCCACTCATTTGACAATAAGACAAAACTAGAAAGCTCTTGAAAGTTCATTTTTTTTTTTTTATTACACACCAGACATGAACTAACCAAAGATTAGGACAATTATCTATACCTTCAAACAGGAAACATATTTCTACTTTCTCCAAAAGCTATTGGAGGAGCATTTCAAATTATTTTGGAATTTGTTTGGGGCAAAGTAAAAGAAACCATTTTTAGTGTTATCAACAACAATTATGAAGCTATTTCTCAGAAGCTAGAAATGATCTTCTGGTTAAGGTAAGAAGGCTGATTGCCAGCAACATTTTGGGAACATTTATTTACTGGATGGATACAAAAGAGTGGTCCCTATGACTTTTCCACTCTGGTTTTCCACTTGCTAAGACTGAGTAACTTCTTAAAGGCATGAATGAAGCTAAGTTCTTGTGCATTGGAAATGTTTGTTGTGGATTCAGAAAATGTAAATGGTGCACTTTTCGAGGTTTCTTCTTTCACAATTGGGGCTGCTCTGATCTTGGATTGAATATGAATTGTTAAGTTTCTGAAAACACTGACTGGCTATTTGTCTCTGCACACTATTTAGAGAAATCTCAGAATCTACTACTGTGTTCCTAGATAACCTTGCTTGCCTATAAACCAAGGGAGATTTCATTATCCTCCTGTAGGACTTGCGTTAGGCTGGACAGAAAACAAGCTCAACTTTAATTTTGAGGTAGGCAAAAGAGGAGACTTCAACATCCATCCATTTAAATGGATATTATAATGCTTCCTGAGTGCCACAACAAAAATCCCACTGTGGTTTTTCAAAATGGCCTCAGGTTCAGCTATTTAGTGCTGTTCCAGAAACTCTACTCAGTGACTTGTTATTCTTTCTTCATTTTCTTCTAGAATCCTGGGATTATCTCAGTAACTGTTACCATATCACATTTTGTATATATTAACTTGCCCTTTCATGTACTATTTTATGAATACACAAAGAAACTGTGTACTCATCTGAATGGTAACATACTGTATGAATTCTGTAAATGTTTCTTGAATAGAAATTATTTACAAGTGTTAAATATTTTTTCACAAAAGGAGGCAGATTATCTGTTCTTAACTTTGCAAACTTGGAAAAGCTAATTTCATGGAAACCTGTGTCATTATATGGTACAGCTAGACTAACTTTATTATGAAGATGAAGGGATTTATTACAAATTTCATATTCTTATTATCCCCAACAGGAAACAGCTTGAATCTGAACATGTAAAAGTCTTTAAGGTAGTGCCTGCATAAATATAATGGGCATTAGTGATACACTGGACTTAAATCTTTTGACAGATCATGTGGCCTTTTGACTGGCCATCTTGGAAGACTGTGAAAAAAGGCATACCTCTGCCCTGTCAATGACAAAATTGAAGCTAATCAGGAGCTAAATATCCCCAAACATTCTGAGACATGGAGTCAAGACTCTAGAGGCAGAAAGATGGCTAGGAAGACCACCTGAGTTTAGAAGTTGTGGGTTTCAGTGGCCACTGTCCCCTCAAGTCTCACAGCAAGTATTTGGGGCAGAGGCTTCCCACTTGCTGCATACTTTATGGCTTTTTCACATTGCCCCATCTCCTACCCATCAAAACACAATAATATTCTGTGGGCTTTACACCTCCTATACCACCACCCTTTGGTTTGGAAAACAGGATTCAGCATTGAAGCTTTGAAAAAAAATTACAGGAAATAAAAGGCTAATTACTTTTCTTTACAGGAGTCTGTACCTTTGTATCTATTTTCCATCTCCCAAAGAGCTTGTACTTAAGAACATCAGGATGGGTGAGGTTAAAAAGAAGCTGCTTCCTGCTGTTTGGCATATATACTTTTATCATCGACAAGATAACCATTTTTTTTCCTCTAATTTTCACCCACATCATCTTAAATGCCAAATCAAGAGAACGTTTTAGACTAGATTCTTTATTCTTTCCCATTTCATATATTTGTGTTAGCTTAAAAAAAAAAAAACTGACAATACTTCTGGACAATCCAGTTGGTAGCAGAGATGGACAACAGAGGGTTGCCCAGAAATCAGACCAGAAAAGTGGCTCATTCTGCACAAATACGCTGACAGGGCAGTCCTAATTTTGGGATACCCTGAAAATCATTGACCTAATGTAAAACCCAAGATGCAGTTCAGAGTAGGAATAATTATCAAAACCCGATTCCCTATCCAAAGTAAAATGTATCAGTTTTAACTAGCTACAGACATTCAAAAAATATGAAATCCTATTGATACCCTATAGTGCCTTTCAAAACAACCAAACAAAACAAAGAAATAACCCCAACAAACCATAAAATAAATGTTACTCTAGAATTCATTCCAAATAGTTTAAAGCAGTCTTCAAACACTGGGGGCCTAGCTGACTTTGGTGGCAGTTTAGGTTAGTGACACCCTGCTTAAAAAAAAAAAAAAAAGATTTCAAATTTTTTACTTCGTTTCTATAGAAATTTCATTTCTAAGAAAAGGTTTCTTCTTTTTTACTTTTACAGGGAATTTAACTGGCTGAAAACAATTATTAATAAATGTAAGTATTTTTAGTTAGAATTTAAGTTCCTCGTAGCTTTGAAATAACAGATTTTTCAGGTGAACCTGAAGAAATGTTAATCAGGTATTATAACTGCTCTATTGTAAAACACATAAGGTACATTTCGAAATATTTTTCATGACTATGCAAAAATTACTAAAATTCTTGCTTCAATATCAAAGTTGAAAGATACCTAGATAGTACACAGAATAAGTAGACCTAAGATCTGTTTATCACCCACAAAGTTACAAAACAGATTCCAGTTTAAGATGACAGAACATAAACTAGATTTAAAGCGCTGTTAGAAAACAAAACAAAAATACACTTAATTTGTGGTAACTACAATGAATGTTCTATTTAGAAGACGTGACACAACAAAGAAGAAAAACACATAGGATTATCATTCTGTAATTGTTCTATTTGCTCTTTTGAGTCTAAGAATGTCTTTTGCAAAGGATGGCAGCCACATCCTTGATCACACTTGACCAGAAGCCTCACTCTTATGTTGCAGATGAACATTTTTCCAGTACTACCTAAGTCACATCTCATGTACCTTGCTGCTGACAATGGCAGAGGTTTGTTTTAAATATTTTTAACACCTGTAATAAACTATGGAATTTGCCAAGAACAGAGGTACTCCGGTTACTGATTAGCATTGTGAATACAAATGCAATCCTTAAGAATGACAAAAATCACTCAAATTTTCTCAATAAAAATAACCACTGCCTTAAAGGTCTTATTCTATAGACTTTTCAAGTCATAGTGAAAGAAACTTGTATAATATACCAATTTTTTTTCTACTGTGTCTTCAAGATACTTTACTAAAAACGAGTACCTGACACAAGAGAATGACATTTGTAGCATGTAATATTGGCGTGACAGTGCTGAGGTTGACTGTTACAGACCATCAAACTCTGTGTATTAAATGGTTATAACTTAAGTATATATGTAGCTCATTGGTCCAATAACATAAAAATAGAGAACAGCATCTGGAAATTTATCTCAATGTTCAGAGATAAAAGCGTTAACCATTCTTCTCATTATTATCCGCAGACAAGTCCTTGTTCATACTGCATCTGATGGCCAAAAAACACTGGCATTTTCCCAAACTACTGTACGAAGAGGATGCTGAAGGCCATCACTATACAGCATACTGCAACATAAGGACTCTTGCGTTCACCTGTTGAAGGAAGGAAGATAATCATCTTGATTAAATCGGCAATGTGGATATGGTGAGGTTATTACTCTGGGAGAGGAATAGATAAGCCATTGACATGGGGTTCTTGCCTATGAGGTCTACACATGGAGAAGGGGAGAAACAAGGAACTCTCTACAACATAAAACAAGGTTCAATACAGAACTGGCTACCCAGGTATGTCCAACGTGTAGTCGATGACCCGCAGGCAGTCAGGAATAGGCATAAACGCAGTCATACACAAGTTGTAAGCTTATTTAAATACTGTGAGAATAAAAAAAAGCTATTCTTGTGTGTGTTACATGTATGTGAATATTCATGCCACAGTTCTTGTGTGGAGGTCAGAGGACAACTTTAACGTTGGTTCCCTCTTTCCACCTTTATATGGATTCTAGAAATCAAATTCAGATTGTCAGGCTTGTGTGGCCTTTACCTGGTAAGCCTTCCTCCTGGTCTATTATGAGATATTTTTTTTTTGGAACTAGATTATATATTTCTCAAATGCCAACTTTGTAGATGACAATGCCATGTTTCAAGGTCAAAAGGTTGCACATGGCTGGCTGCTAAGCCATATTGAGTTATTTCTGAGCTTTTTAAAAAAAATATTTTATTTATTTTTATTTTATGTGTGTGAGTGTTATGCCAGCATGTAAGTACACCCGTGTTGTGCAGTGCCCGTGGAGGACAGAAGAGGCTGTTGGATCCCCTGGAACAGGAGTTAAGGACAGTTGTTAGCTGCCATGTGGGTGGTGAGATTCAAACCCGGGTCTTCTGCAAGACCTGCCAGTGTTCTTAACTGCTGAGCCATTTCTCCAGCTCCTATTTCTGAGCTTTTTATGGATTTAGAAAACCCTGAGAGTGCTATTGCTATGCTACTGCTGTATTAAGGCAGATACTACAAACTGAAATGCAGAATATAGGACAGACATCCCAAAGAAATGCTCTCCAACAACGCAAAGCCAAAGAAACAGTTAACTCTCTTCCAGGAAGGGAGTTACTACCTACTCAAAGAAATCTAACACACAATATCTAGCAGTATCTTCTTTTCATCTGTGGTGGCCAATTCATGACACTTTGAGAGGGACTCAGAAAGCACTCATGGTGTAAACAAGCAAGATGGTCAGCATCATTCCATTTAAAAATTAGCCACAGGGCTGGAGAGATGGCTCAGTAGTTAAGAGCACTGACTGTTCTTGCAGAGGACCCAGGGTCAATTCCCAGTATGGACATGGAGGCTACTAACCATCTTTAACTCCAGTTCCAGGGGAATCCGATACCCTCTTCTGACCTCCACGGCACTGCACGAAACAGGTGCACTCACATACATGCAGGCAATACACTCATACACAGAAAATGATAAATAAATAAAATATATTAAAAAATAGGCATAGTAAGACCCAACAACATAAAAGATAATTATTTCTGAGAGAGATATTGCACCAAGTCTTTTCCAGGTCAAGTAATCCTTACCCAAAATGATTGGGATGAGAAGTTTGCTTAATTTGTGGGGTTCTGGAATATCTGAATCAATTTTACTGGCTGAGCAACTCTAGAAAACTGGAAATTTCTCCAAAATCTGAAACTTTTTGAGCACTAGCTCCACACTCAAAATATTTAAGATTTTTCAGAATTTCACATTTTAAATTGGGGACCCTTGAAAAGGTAGACATTAAGTGTGGAATTTAAAAATAAAAAATTAAAAGCAGAAATTAACTCCAATAAATTCTGAATGAGTCAGTTTCACATTTGCTAAGAATTTACATTTGGAGACTTTCCTTTGCCTGATACAGATCTAAAATCAGCTTGTAAAAACGTCTTGCAAACCTATGCGAACTCAAACTCATTTTAATGTTTTTTGATTTTTTTAGTAATTCTAAGGCATTACTAATTTAGAAGGCACCAGGCATAAGAAAGAAGCAATCACATCAAGAAATAACTGAGACATATCTGGGTGCTTCAGGAGAGATGGCTTATTATACTACAGCCTCACATATTTTTTTCCTATTTAAAATCAATTCTTTGCCTGTAACTAAAGTCTTTATTTCACTTGGCAAGTTCATTTAACTACCCCTGGTTAATGTCAACCATGGCTGTCTTTATTAAAATTCTCAGGGTCATTGATATTTTCAGAGCTTCCTCACTGAGCTTACATTGATACATTTATTAAGTTTATATATTTGTGCCTGTTCAATGACAACAGTTCCAGAAAATATAGCATATGTTCTTGTGACCCCCCATCTCAAATCCAAACCAGACCAAACCAAACCCAAACTAAACCATTCTAAACAAAACTAAAAAATATACAATTGATGTTGTTCAGAAGGTACTTTTTTCCCTTTCTTTTCAACAGACATTTAACGGACTGTCTTTTAGTTAAACAAAGATCTGTAATGTAAAGAGTTTTATAGTACCATCACTTTAAGTAGAAAAAACCCTTTTAAAACCAAAAATATATTGGTTTACAATGCTAATTCTTTAGGAGTAAATGCATACTAAATACCTCACTAGTACATAAATTTCAGGTAGATTTCTGAAAAGCCAGTTAATCTTTTCAGGACTAGATACATCCACTGTTTAGCTCAATTAAACACCTACAGGAAGCAATTAATCCTGTCCTGAGTTTTTCATCTGCCAAAAATTAAGTTTTGAGGAAGTCCTTTTCTTCCTCATCCTGACTTAGAAAGCTATAATTTACATATGGGTTTCATTTTCCTGTTTTTCATTTTCTTAAAAGAGATTGCCATGTGGTAGAGCTAAACATCTTTAGTTGAACTTGAGTAGGAATGTTACTTCTTGTCTGGTCTTAGGTTTGTGTAGTGAATGGGAAACAGTTGCTGTAATGTGATGTGTAACATGATAAGATGATTTGGCTAGCTCTTTTCCCATTAAACCGCATCCTTTCTTTGTGGATATATGTGTCAAGCACAGAGGAGCACGTGCTTGAGAAAGCAGTGATCACCATCATTGCTTCCAAAGCTGCTTTGCCAAAATGAAGCAAATGCTTTCAGATAACTGGTAAGAATGAACACATGAACCAAACCTTTCACAGCCAAAGAGGGAAATAAATGAGCAAGCAAAAAGAAAATTATGTCTATAATTATACATAAAAATAGATCAGGAAATCAATAAATAAGTTACATACTACATACGTTTTAAACTTTTAATTAGACTCCTTCCTAGAAATAATTATGAACAAAAGGAGCACTTGGATTGCTACCTAATATAATTGTCCACGTTTAATTTCCTACATAAAACAGATGAGTTATCACCTTTATAAAATGGAGATGGAAACTCAGCTTCTTAATACCAGATCCACTCTGTTACCCTTACTCTGTGGTATACTTGAGGTATTTTAAAGTAATGTTCCTTGGTAATACTTGTACATGTAAGGAGTTTGGTTTACATTTATCAATAGCTATTAGCATTAACGATTGAGAGCGATATTCTTTCTCTAGGTTTCTCCATTCCTTTTAAAGTGCTTAAAGATTTCTTCTGTTATTTTAGTGTTTGCAGCTGTTATGCATGACTGAGTGCCAGATAAGTCTGTATCACAAATCTCTGCAAATCTAGGCCAGGCCTTCAACTCCAGCATTACTAACATCTTGGCCTGGATAATTATGCTGTGAGTGGCCTGTCCTGTGCAATGTACCCTCTTCAGCAAGCTCCCCCTTCTACACTCATTCTATACCACCCACCCCAGTTTTGGTAGGTCTAACTTTATGGCATGGTTATCTACAAAGTTCATGCCTCAAGAAAAGTTCAATGGACAAAAAGAAAATCTCAGTATGTTTTAAGCTTATGATTTTCTGTTGGGCTGCAGGTTGGACCACCTGCTAGATAGCCCTAAATACCCCTTGAATAATACCCACCTATCTAGGCTACATATATATGTTTCTGCTAATCTGGGTCAATGATATTCTTATTATAGGAAGATTTTGTTTACTTCCATAGTAGAGAATAAAACATGACAAAGAACTCGAAGGAAGGAAAACTTCCCATGTTAAAAACTGTCTGAAGGATAATGCCTATTTTAACAGTCACTGTATTAGAATGATGGCCTTGGAAGAGGTCTTTTTCTGTAAAGTCCTTTGTACTTATACTGTCATTTTCTACCAGAAAGCCTTCTTGCAGGACCCCCCCCCAAAAAAAAACCCTTAAAATATTACCACAGACTTATGTCTTCTGGGTAATTTAGTATTAGCCTGCTAACTTCTACTAGAGCCCTGTTTATCACCTAAAAGCTCAATGGAGGAAAAACTATTCTGAAAACCAGTTCAAAGGCTAACAACAGATGTTTTTAAAGATCTGAAAAGTAATTTATACCTCAACTACGGTTAGGTATATTACATTGGTTCCCAGGTCTTTAGAAGAATGTCTAAGTATTTTAAGAACTTAGTATTTTTAAGCTTTCAACAACTTTGTTTTCAGTAAGTTTTCCACAACTCTGAGAAGCTAAAAACTAAAATAAAACACAGTATTCTAGGAACACAGTTATCTTAGGAATATGATTCATAAATCCCTGATCCTAACTAAAGTTAAGTTTGGACATTTAGGCTGTTGTTAAACTGGCTAACTAGACTACATGTCTAAAGTGTAAACATTTTCTGCATTATAAAAGTTAACTGCTTTATTAAAAAAGTAGTTATGCAGAAATTCAAGGTTAGAAGAGTATGAAAGGGGAAAAATTACTTTTGCAAATAATTCCAAGGAGAACAAGAAATATTCATTTTCAAGTAGTGTTAAGTGCAAAGGCACTAAGTATTTTTTAATTAGGAATGCTAAAGGGGTAGTATTTTTAATTTGTTTTTATTGAATTTTTGTATATTTCATACAGAATATCTCAAACAATCTTAATCACATTTATACCTCTGTTCCCACCAGCACCTTCCCTTAGCCCCCCCCCCCATTGGAACCCCTATAACTGTCATCTGTGTTAAGGCCCACTGTGTCAAGTCAGTGTCCCTAGATATCCCCCAGTGAAAGCCCATCCACTGAGGTCTAGTCAGCCTATCTAGAGTCCCTTGTTTTAGGAGGATCGCTCTTCCTCACCTAGCAGTACTCACTAGTCATTCCAAATTTATGTGATAGGCACAGTCTCAAATGTGTCATATATTTACATATATGAGATGGAATCAAGAGTTTATGTGTATCTAGACACACAACTGAAACTCAAATAATCTTAATCTTTCTACTGGATGCAAAATGCACCCTCAGTTATCAAAATAGTATATAAGAAGGCTGGTGAGATGGCTCAGTGAATAAAGGCTCTTGTCCCCAAGCCCAAAGAACTGAGTTCGATCCCCAAGTACCATGTGGTAGAAGGTGAGAACTAACTCTCACAAGTTGTCCTCTGATATATATACACTGTGGCATGTGAGCTCCACCCACATACACAAAATATATTAAAATATCTAATTCCTGATTTATATATTTATAAAAAGGAGTGTACAAGATACAGAACAGCATGCTGTGACACAAACGTGCACATATACTACATATACTGTTTGAATTTGAAATCTCTCTAAATTCAGACATGCATATTTGATAACTGATTTTGAGGCTTTTCTTCTATTTTTCTATCTGTTAATGACATATCTTGAAGTAACCATCAAATCTGTTTTTAAATAGAAGGAAAATACTTGGTAGAACTTATGAACCTTCTGCAAAAGTACACATAATTGATAAGCTGATAACTTTAAAATAAAAACTGATATTTGTGGCTGGGCATGGCAGCACATGCCTGTAGTCCCAGCACTTGGGAGGCAGTGGTAGGTGGATCTCTGTGAGTTCAAGGCTAGCCTGGTCTACATAGTGAGTTCCAGGATGGCTGGGGCCACAGGGAGACCCTGCCTCAAAAAGACCCCCCCCCCCAAAAAAAAAACCCCAAAAAACAAAAAACAACTGATATTTGATTCTGGTGACTATGACATAAATAAAATGGTCAACAATTCATAACTGAAGAAATGGATGAAGAGTAGACACTTACCAATTCTGGCACACTTCCAAAATATTCCCAATAATCTGCACAGAACAAAATCGAACAAAGGTGGCAGTGATTACTGGGAAAGATAAACTGTTACTGTCAATATCTACAGAAAATTCACTGTAAACACTGGCAGCATTTTAACCAGTAAGGCTTTGCTTCACTTCTGAAATCTGCTTCTTTGATATTGAGCTACCATTTATATATGAAAATAGGACATGAAAGACTATGAACCACTGATGGACAGAAGCGTATATGAACTGCATTATGTGTGCTTGCCACAGGTCAGAGCTAAAGTAAGTTAGTGTGGGAGTGGCAAAAGTTTGTATGAGGGTTTATTGTATGAATTCATTAACTTCAAGTTCTTTATCACCTTCAAAAACAGAAAATTTATTCTCAATAAGTTTGAGAAAATGATAAAAACAGGTTTTAGATGTGTTTCTATAAGGTACTTACAGAATTTTTAAACAGAGTTTTTAAACTTAGTTTTAATTTCTTATAGAATAAATTTCCATACTTAGTTAATCTATAAATAAGAACTCTAGAGAGTCCTCATCTGTGTTATTTAATAAAGAATAATATATAAATATGAGGCTACATTTAAAAAATATTAGTTTAAGTGAAACTAAGTGTATGAATTCACTAAATGTGACATGCAACATACATATTCCAGGAATAACCATTAGAATGAAGTATTCCTTTCAATTCTATGAATGGATAAATCATGAACTAAATATATAAACACATACACAAATAAATGGGCATGTCATTTATCTGGAAATCAACAAAAAGCAACAGCTTTGTCAAAAATAAAAGCCATCAACAGAAACATTTTCAAAAGAATATAAAAACACTATAGACACTATTTTGCTGGTTTTGCATATTATGTTTATAACTGGTATTACATATGGTAACAAGACAAATCAACATTATTTGTTTTATATTAGGACCAGCTCAATAAAATTACAATACTTAAATTTCAGAGATAGTTATACACTTTTTCTGTGAAAAGAATGGATGGGTGATGAATCATTACACTTGATAGAAAGCTAATAGCCAAATACATTTATGAAAAAAAATAAGCTATTAACAAAGACAGCCTATACTTTAACTCACTCATAATTATTGATTGTCTGTGAGGAAGTTCTCTTATCTCTTTAATAATAACACCTACCCTCAGAATTTTTATGAAGCATAACTTAATGACCCTATAGAATAGTAACATGATGTGCTCAGTATGGCTAAAAGAACATTTGACAGCAATTCCAGGTATCACTCAAAATTGACCTACTTTCTTCAAGAAGTAGAAGACAACAAATTAGGCAATGCAAAGCCATGTATGTTCTCTGATTCTAAAATTCACTATCACAATAAACACAAATGATTTAAAGCTACTTTGGTTGCAAGAGTTGAAGGACCCAGACCAAGAATCTGAAGGTCCTCCAAGGGAAACTTGGAGTTCTGAACAGTCTGAAATTGTATGATAATGTATTAAAAACTTTTTAAATGATTAAGAGAATCCTAACTTATTTCAGACTTATCAGTACAACTTGGGCTATTTCAACATATTTCTTAAACTGTAATTTCTAAAACATCCTGAATGATGTTTATTTTTAAAAAAGAATTTAGTTGATTAAAAAGCAGTACAATCATGCGGCTTAGTTTCGATGGCTCGAGATGCTATATACACCCGCTGATAATGCGATTAGGTCCATGAAATGGGATAAAAGACAAGGAACAATCTTTTAGTATTGCCTAGTTCTGTTACTTGAATTAGCAGAAAATGAAGTTATTTTAAATAGTGAAGTAATCAAAAACGCATTCTATCAGATTTCTAGATATCGCCGACCAAACATGATATATACAATAACAAATTTAAACGAGTTTCATAGAAACAGAAAGAGAATCTAAACATTACTTCTAAGCCTGGCCTGATGGTGCCCGCCTTTAATCCCAGCACTTGGGAGGCAGAGGCAGGGAGATCTTTGTGCGATTGAGGTCAGCCTGGGTCTACATAATGAGCTCCAGGCCATCTGGGGCTACAGGGAAATCCTGTCTCAAAAAGAACCCCCGCCCCCTTCCCAAAGATAAATAAAAATTACTTCTACAGAAAAATAGTTCCAATCAAAAAAAAATTGGGCTTTAACCTTTATGTAAGTAGAAACAAATACCTTTTAAGTTTATATCTGGAAATTTAAAGATAAGAGTGCTTTTTTGGGATCTTTTATGTAGGAGAAATATACTACTACTCAGCCTCTACTGTAAGGCTGGCAGCCCTGAGAACTCCTTTTTGAATATAGCATGCTTATGGATGCGTTCCTACCCCAAAGGAAAGAGGGGCAGACATTTCCACATGCAATGTATTTTCTTTTGAAAGAGAAATTTCCTAACAGGATCATATTCTATTTGAGTATTTACTATTGTGATTATTCTTTAATGATAAACTGGAATGCTTTATTAGATAGATCTTACATAAATTAGGATTCCAAACAACTGATCAATGAGAATAAAATGCTGAAGATTTAATGCAATAGAAATTCAGAAAAAAGGGAGGAAGGATGAAGACAATGTCTGTAAGAAACTGATCACTTTTGGAATTTATTATTTAGTAAGACATCATGAATGTAAATACAAAGAAAAAATATGTAAAAAGTTACTGAAAACTAAATTAAGTTAGCTAATGACTTTCAAGGAATTTGCATTCAGTGTTGCTAAGAACTGATTTGACTGAATAGATATCATTAATAACATACCCAGTTTTATTTCTGTCCAGGAGGCTGGGTGCCAGGGATCGGATATAAGCACACGTACATATAAGCAGCAAGATTACAGTCAACAGACTCTGAAAATTGAAAATGGCAGACTAAAAAGAGAGAGAAAAAACAAAAGCAAACAAAATTAATATCATAAGAAACACTTCTTATGTAAAAAAATGCCAGACAATTTTACACTGAAGGCAAACAGGATGACGTACAACACTCAAACTCTGATCATGAAGTGCTCTACAGGTTTACTTTCGTCTTCATTCTTTAAGGTACAGAATGCAGAAGGAATTCTAAGTCATGAACTTGGATAGTATACATTCAGAACAGCTGATCAAAATGGAGTTAATATACAATTAACACATATGTTCAAGGTCTCCAAGAAGTGCCAGAGGCTAGGTATATGAGCTCAGTGAAAAATCACTGGCCTCTCAGTCTTCAGTTGACATCTACAAAGCTAAGTAGAGCCTCTGAGAAAGATTAAAGACTGCCTAGTTTCTTTCAACTGAACTTTTTCTTGGGATAAGCATTTTTAAATATAAGAGATCATGTTCCAAGCCCTCACAAATATTAGAGTATTAGACTCTGATGAAAGGAAAACATGCTGCTCCTTTTTACTGGTGACTCTAAAAATTATTTAATAGTTCCATTTATTATTCTAATAAAGTTAACATAAGAATCATAATAACTAGACATTTTTACAGACAAACAGGAAATCATAGGTTTCAAGTCTAAATGAAATGCAGTGAGACTTATTTTATTCCAAATTCAATTCACTCTTTTCAGGAAGTTTCCTTGAATCCATGTGCCTTCTCTCCCTATTTCATCCAAAACTCAAGACCCAAGCTGCTCTTGAACTAGATCCTTCTGTTTCAGGCTCTCAAGAGCTGGGATTATGGGTCTTCACCACCATGCTTTCCCTTAGACCTCTCTCTACATCCACAGCAATCAACACTGTTATGATAAAAGTCATCCTCAATGGTGAACACTATTAGCAAACCGTAAATCTCTAATACCTGGCCGTATGTTTAAAATGGCACAAGCCTAAAGAAGAGACACTTGAATAAAAACAATTCTAAGAAGGTGCAGGAATATCACTATATATAATAAAAAATAACACTTCCATTAAAAGTAGGCAGATAAAAATCTATCGATTCCACCCAGCAGTTAACAGTATGCCTATTTAGTAAATTTAGAAGCATTTCTCAAAAAAAAAAAGGAGTGACATTTTTTTCGCCCCCAAAGGCAAAAACTGTTACTTCCAAATGAGTACTTACTTAAAAATCTCAAAAGAATCTAGTGAAAAATGGTTTTAAACTTTAAGGGAATTAAATAAGGTGGCTGGGGACATAATTACAATACACATCCATAACCTTTAGAATTAACCTTAAAACACACAGAACATGTATAACATTTGAATAGATTGACAGTTGGTTTTTATTATTTTCTTATGTGTATGGGTATATTGCCTGCATGTGTTAAGTGCACCTGTGTCATGCAATGCCCTCGGAGGTAAGAGGGCATTGGATTGCCCTGAAAACTGGAGTTACAGTTAGTTGCCATGTGGATGCTGGGAATTGAACCCGGGTTCTCCGCAAGAGCAGTCAGTGCTCTTAACTGCTGAGCTCTCTCTCCAGGTCTGAGAGTTATTTTTGAAAGCAATACTGTGAAGTTCATCTACAAGTTTAAAGTAAACCTAATACAAACGCATTACTTTTGAAACAGCAATGGATTCTAAAGTTTATGTGGAAAAATAGGCAACAGCCAGGATAATTTTAAGTAGCCCTTCCATAAATTGTTAAAATTATCCTTTTCCTTTAATATGCATTTTTATGATAAATAAAACACTACAGAAAAATGTGAAAGGATTACACATTACTTAGCAATATTCTGTTTTATGTGTATTTTATGTGTATGTGCATGCATGTGTGAAGGCTAGAGGCTGAAGTTGAGTGTCTTCCTGTCAGTCCTCCACTTTATTTTTCTGAGCCAGGGTTCATCATTGAACCTGAGGCTTGCCAATTCAATTCAGGAAGACTGGCTAGACAAGTCCTGGGGGATCCTTCTGTTTTGGCCTTCCCAGCCATGGGATTACAGGCCCACCTTGGTGCCCAGATTAATGTAGGTACTGGAGATCAAACTTAGGTCCTCATGCTTTCATGAGTTCTTTACTGAGTCATTTCTCCAGCCCCATTTACCAGTATGCTTAGTGACAAAAAAAGTATTTATATGCAAATTATTAGTAAGTGTTCGGATAAACAGGACGCAAGATCTCATAACCAGCAGTTTTAGCTGTGTAAATCTTTACACAGCTAAATGGAGAATAAAGATGATTCTGGATAAATCTTAACTACTCCTTAATTTTTCTGCCCTAAAACATTTTTTTGGAGTTATGTTTACATTCTGAAAAAAGTGAACAAAAATTTTTACAACTGTCACTTTAATGCTTTTTTTTCATTCAAAGAATTTATTCACTTATACTCCAAGTGGTACTTAACATGGTTTTGTCTTTTAATTAACCTGAGCTTTAATTTTGCATCTGTGAAAGAAAGTGGTAACAAATGATATATTCTAGATAGAAAACAGTATGACACAATAATTATTTTTCAAAGGTCATATTTTAAAGATGCATATATATATTGACAGCATTATTTCCTCCTAGGCAAATGATTATATGTGTATTTAGGGTGTACTCTGGGGAATGAGATCAGAAACTAGGGATTAAAAAGCGAGACTGCATGATTCTTCCCCTACCGGAGTTGATAAATAAAAAACAATTACCGATATTCACCTAGTTAGTATTTTTTCACATTATCTTTCTTGTCAATGTAGATATTGTTATAGACAATGCACACAGAAGTTACCTTCAAGTTAACAAAAAATGTATACTGTTAAAACGAAACAGCGATACACTGTATCATGTCCAAGTGATGGCTTGGAACCACAAGGACAAAGACATGTTTTCATAAGGAAAAGTTTTAAGGAAAAAGCAGGAAGAGAGCCAAACCAGAAATGGCATGATTTAGAAGGGCAAAGAAGAAAGAGTAGGCTCCAAAACGGGAGGGGACAGAGAATAAGAAATTTTTATGTTAAGGGAATAATGAAAAGACTTACTGTCTTAAACAAAAGATTCTAGTGGTAAGATGGTTGAAAGTTTGCAAAATGAGTTTATCATCTTTCAACTTGGATATCTAAAGTCAGGATTTTGTCATGTGGTCTCTTTTCTTCCCCCTTTAAATTTGTTTAAATGATAAGATACTCAAAACTGGTTTCTCACTGTGTGTGTGCAGGAAAAGAACTGTAGTCAATGAAATGCTAAGTATACAAAGACTCATCTTACCCTTCTTTTTACCTTCCTGTGTTTGAAGCTTTTCATAATAAATGATAAAATGGCTCTTACCACCCTGCCTATTACTGAAGTGGAATGTGTGTATATACATTTGTGTATGTACAACCATTTACAAATGAAAGTTGTTTACATATACAAAATATATGATATACACAACTTTGTTCTGAGGATTTAAGAACTCTAAATTTTAAACAAATCTTAAATGGTAAAGTCTTATGGATATACTTAGACTATGGTCAAAAGAGCGTTTTTAAGCTATGGACATCAGCCTGTCACCTATAACTTTCTTCCTAATGCTTAGCATCTGCATCCACTGATAAAAATTACAGTCTCTGGGTTAAAGGAAACAGATGTCCCTATTCAGGAGAAAAATAAATGGGACTTTCTGAAAATGTTAACAAATGGAAGAATGGAAGCCAAACAAAGCATCTATGATCACAAAACAGAAAGATGTAAAATTCATCAACAATGGATATTACTGAGAAAAATCAATAAAGATTAGATACTGAGTATAGCATTTTGATAATTACTCGAGAAGCTGCTGAGAATTTATATTTACTTGTGAAAGACATTTTGGAAAACTAAGCAGGAAGAAAAAAAAATTCTTTATGTTATTTGAAGGGTCTATGCTGTAGGTAAAATGAAGGCCAGGGGTAATTTCTATCTAAGATTCACATTCATCACCATCTGGAACTCAAATGTTCTGCCAAGCCACGTCAACTCTGAAGATACTCAGACCTTAGATAGGATATGTTGTTCTAATTCTTTCTAAGTCATAAGAGATACATTTTTAAGAGGTCTACCGAGCTGAGTAGGTAAGCTTGCTAAATGAAAATTCTACAATCTCAAATATTCTCATCAAGTCAACCTAATTTTCAGTGGCAATTTAATGGCTAATGATTTTCATCTTTGTACCAAATAGAGATTATGATTCCAATATGTTGTAAGATTACAGTGTCCAACTTACAGTGTTTCAATTTTATGATGGATATGAAAGATATGCAATCAGTAGAAGCTACATTTTGAATCTGGATCTTTTCACAGACCAGTGATGTTGAACATACTATTTTTTTGAAGTTGAGCAGTAACAGTGAGCTATAGCTCCCAAATCAGCCACAAGAGCATGAGGGCAAATAACTGATACCTCAGAGTATACTACATATTGCTCAGCTATGATGTTCCACAGGTTAGTTATATTCAATATATTTTAGACTGCTAGTTCTGTCTTAAGTAGAGAAGCACCTGCACATAAATACTAAGATAGCCAAACAAAAAGAAGTTTTAATCTCACAACTTCTTAGTTTCAATGTATATTATTTAGTTCAGTAAAATGGATAGCACACTGTTTTTAAAAAATCTCCTAGGCACTACCACAGCATGTGCTGACTCTCTGAGGCACCTCTTTAACTCAACTAGCATGAACAAAATAACACATATTTAGAAATGAACTCTGATCAAACAATTTGGCATTCATCCAAGAAGGATTTGATTTTACGTATGTATCTATGCATGTACATGTGTGCCTATGTGAGTATACATTACACATTTCCAGATGCCCATGGAGGACAGAATAGGATATCAAATTTCCTGGAATCGCAGTTTCAGGTGGTTTTGAGCAGCCTAATTTTGGTGCTGGAAACCAAACTTGGTTAGAAGAACAAGAAGAGTTCTTAAGAGATGACCTGTGGCTGCAGCCCAGATTTTATGTTTTAAAGAGATATTTCTCTCATAATGGTTGCTACTCAATGTTGGGACGTCATATTTACTAAGTGACTAGAAATGGGGATGACGTCAGATTTATAGTATTCCCATAGGTAATCCTGAGAGCACCAAATAATGAAGGTAGGTATTGTATGGTGGCCTTCATATCTCTCTGCAAATTAATATTAATCTTGGTTCTCCCTGAAGAAATAACTGCTTATTTCCCAGTTAGCGAATACAATAACTTGAGTTTGAAAAGGAAAAAGGAGTTCTCCAGCACAGGACTTTTCTCTACATTTTTGTCTGTCTTCAAATAATAAACACAGGACAGAATTGTACAATATGGATATTATAGCTTCACAGATTCATTTTAGCATAGACATATATATATATTTTATTAAAGATGTTTTATCAATAGTTGATATTTTACATATGCATCATAATGTAAAAGATTGCAACAATCAATCAATATATTAAATTCAAGAGTTCACCACATACTTTAAAAAAAATCACATTTTCCTTATGGAACTAATATTATCAAGTAAGAAGTATTCCTAAATTTGAGCATCAAGAATCAAAGGCGTGAACAAGAGTGTCATAAAAGCAAGGCTAAACATTTGTGATGACCTCTACAACCACTTTAAATAAGACAGATATGTTAACTATCAAGGGGCCACAACTATGTATGCTTTTGTTCTAAATGATTTAGACTAAATGCTAATCGCTAACAATTTTTCTTGCCTTTGTACTTAAAACAAAACAAACAAATGGGTTAATGTTAAGTCACTTGGATAGCACAGATATGCCCAAAGTAAGATACAAACCTCTCACCCTGATCTGGCCCTGACCTCACTCTTCTCATTCCCTAAGCAACTAGAAGAATCATTGTTAACAACCCAGTACATAAAGGGACACTGGATCTTTTTTTTTGTGCAGAAACATGTTTATAAAGAAAAAAAAATCAATGTGATGTGGCCATACACCCAAACATAACAAATTAGAACCAACAATTTCCTATATAAAATCTTGACTCTCTTAAGAGTTTACGGTAATGCCACAACTAAGGGTAATGGCTAAGAGTAAGTTTGATTCCGAGTTTACTTCTTCCTAGCTGTGTGACTTTGAGCACAATTCTTTTCCTTTTCTTTTTTGGTATTTTTGAGACAGTCTTCCGGTAGCCCAAGCTGGCCTGGAATTTACTATGTAGAGCAGGCCTGCTTCTGCCTCTGGAGTGATGGGATTAAAGGTGTGTACACTTAGCTTGAGATAGGTCTCTTCAATGAACTGTAGAAGATGAAAATAAGACTTATGTTCCTAATGAAGCTTTGGGCACTTATTCTCAGAAAACATAGCACTACAAATTTGGGTGCTTAAACCAACACAAATTTATTATCTTGTACTTTTAAAGTCCCTTACATGACTGACATTTTGACACACACACATCACTGTATCTGTGGCTATCTCCCCACTGTTTTCAGCTCACCAGGTTCCTTTTAATTGTATTGCTCTCATTCCTCTCAGGATAATCTTCTCAACTGAAATTCTTACTCTGAATGTAGTCTCTTTTGTAATGTAAGGTTAACAAATACCATGTTTTCTTTTTTCCGTGTGTGTGTGTGTGTGTGTGTGTGTGTGTGTGAGAGAGAGAGAGAGAGAGAGAGAGAGAGAGAGAGAGAGAGAGATTTTGCAGGGAGTACATTCTGTCTACCACATCTACAAATGTTTCCTTTTAATAAAGAAACAAGTAACAGTCCCTTGAATCAGGGCTGCAGGTGGCACCCACAGGAGCACAATACCAAATACAGCCAATAGCAGTAACTCTTGGGGTTGCAGGACAGAGAAGCCCTGCCAATACCTCCACTCAAGAGTTGTGATCTTCCTTCTAAAATATTGCATTGGTGGTCCCCAAATTAATTTCCTCTCAAGGCTTTCCTATTATATAGCCCCAGTGTGGGCTCATGAACATTCATAACTAATCAGTGTTTTCAGTATGTTTGGAATGACCACTCTATTGCACTGAGTTAATATAGCCAGACCAGAAGGAGATACACTTAATAAGACACACTATTAGTGTTCTGAAGCACATAGTTGTTAAATGATGAAAACATCCACAGGCATTCTTATTTTCAGAGTCATTCCTGAGTGCTAAAATATGGTCACCAAGTTTAAATATGAGAAAGCTTATTCTGCATGTAGTCTAGGCATTTGTTATTAAAACTTTTAAATTAGAAATCTTAAGAAACCACAAAAAATATTAGGAACATGGGGGTTGGGTCCAAACAATACAGAAGTACAAAAAGAAATTTTTAAAAGTGCAGAAATATATACATCAATATGATAAACAGCCTTTAACCAGAGAATGCTCAGTGGTAGCTGCTGACCATATTTAATCTACAGAAAAGACCCTGATTAAATTTACACTATTTTCATTACTATTAGATCACTTTGGCTCCATGCATATTTATTTTTACCATCATCAAAACAGTTCGCCCAGGTGGTGAATAAGGAACTTCTCTGTGCATAACATTGTCTTGGAGCTTCAAATGTTGATTTCCTATGTTTAAAATAAATGTTTACTGACATTAACTTCTTTAGTTTAACTCAAATGCCTTTAAAAGAGCTGAATACTAAAGGTAAGAATTAAAAATGCCAACTAGTAACACTTTTATGCACAATCCTTACATATTTTACAGGAATTAAAGTAGTTTATTCCTCTCTGGGGGTATAGAAATGCCCAAGAATGACATTCCTGACCGAATGGTGATAAAAATTATAACACACTGGGAAAATGGGTCAGCATTTTATCATTTATGTATTTAGGTCACGTGAGCATTTTCCAACTAGATTCTACTTACAAATTCCTATGTACTACTATTTATCTTAAAAATGTGAACCATAGAAATAGAAATGCTAACCTGCAAATGAATATACAAACACATACACTCATCTGTCCAAGACGGACTTGACTAAACATATTAACATGTCCTCAGGACTACTGTGTATTACACATTTGGAATACTTAATATATAAATTTATCCTTGAATAAATCAACAATTCTTGTCAGTTGCATTTGATCTCAAAGGTCCTATTTCATAAAGAAACCCTTTTTTTTTTTTTGTCTTTTTTGAGACAGGGTCTCCCTGTAGCCCCAGCTGTCCTGGAACTCACTATGTAGACCAGGCTGGCCCTGAACTCACAAAGATCGCCTACCTCTGGCTCCCAAGTGCTGGGATTAAAGGCGTGTGCTACCACGCCCACCTAAAGAAACCTTTTCTACTTACCTTTTACTTAAGAACTTTGATGGCTCTAAGTAAAGCAATGTTTCAGAGTACACGTATCTCAACTGTTCTCTTTCTGCGCTATTGGTGGTTATCTAGTTTAACAGTGGTGCTCACAGAACAGCCAAAAGTAGTATATTTATTAGTAGATAAAAAAATCAATGTCTCTTACAATTTCTTGATAAAAAGATTTGGAAAGATATTTGAAGGCCAAAGAGCAAACCTTACTGTGAAAAAAGTACTCTGACCAGGCCATGCAACCAGGAAAAGAAAAATAAAAGGTCACTGATAAAACACTGAATTCTGGGTGCCTGATACGGGTTATAACACCTGGCTGTTCACTAGAATTACTCAAAGCTTTTTAAAAACAACCAATCCCAGGGACTAGAGAGATGGCTCAGTGGTTAAGAACATTGACTGCTCTTGCGGAGGTTCAGGGCTTGATTCCCAGCACCAACGTGGCAGCTAACAACTGTCTGGAAATCCAGTTCCAGGGGATGCAACACCATCTTCTGATCTCTATAGGCATTGCACAAGATGGGTGCACTTACACACATGAGGCAGTATCTCATATGCATTAAAATAAGAAGTAAAAACAAAAACAAAAACCAACCAGCCCGCCACACCACCTGTGTGGAATCTACAATTTGAGATTAAGTTATAAGATCACAGTATCTGCATTAGATTTCTATTAGCCCTGTGTAGCAGTTTTCAAAGTGAAATTCATGGAACATTTCATGAGCTCAAACTACATCTGCTTTTTGACTACACCATTTTCATTGTTGATATAAAAAGAATTGTGGTAACAGAACTGTCACTTTAACTTTCCTCCCCACAAGCCTTGCTTTTCTTCTTGAATGTCCTGTGTGATTAACAGGACTTTTGACAAATAGAAAGGGCCAGGTTTTGGTGACAAAAGAGGTCATTAAGCTTAAACCTTACGTTCACTGTTATTTCTAAGCAATAACACTCTTGGGCAAGATAGTTAATCTTTTTCATGTGCAGTGTGGTCAGCAGTATCACTAATAAAACACAGCAAGAACCCCCAGTCCTAGATGAGGCTCTACTGGCAATTGACAGAGTCAGTTTTCATAACTGGTATGACACTTGGTACGTTGACCAAACTCCAGGGGATAGCCCCACACCCAAGAGCATTTGGAGAATATGGACCACACTTGATAGGACTTTAAAAAAGACAAATAATAGAGGACATGAAGTTGGGTGGGGGGTGTTGGTAGTAAGGTGAGGGTTGAGATGGGGAAGAAGGCCTGAATGTGATCAAAATACATTGTGTGAAATTCTCAAATTGATTAAAAAAAAGAAAGGTAGCTAAGCGAGCCAGTGGGATTAAATCTCTGTGGGTGTGGGGCTATCCTACACCCACAGGTTTGCTCAACCCACCAGGTGTCATACCAGTAATGAAAACTGACTTTGTCAATTGTCAGTAGAGCCTCATCTAGGACTGACTGAGGGTTGTGCTTCAAGCTCCAGGACTGAATTCCTGTCTTAGCTTTCCTCACTGATGGACTATAACTTGTAAGCGTAAATAAACCTTTCTCTTCCTGACTCCCTCCACTCAAATGCATGCACTTTTTTTTTCTTGAAATATTAAAAATGTATGAATTCTTTTAGAAGTCTATAGTTCAACAATATCTATTATGTTTCCTTCTACAATCACTGTATGTGTGTAAGAATACATAGTTCCCTCTCCACATGTGGGTTCCACATCCATGGATTCAACCAACCATGGGCTAAAAAACTGAAAGGTTCCACATCTGTACTGAACATGTAAGACTTTTTTCTTGTTGCGATTCCTTAGCCAGACATTAAGACAGATTTGAAGCCTGTCCTTACTAGGTATTTGATCCTACCTAGTCTCCTTACTTTTCACTTTCTTCGCTTGTAAACACCTCAGAATTCCTGAACTTAAGACAATGCTTAGGAAATGATTTAAATGAAAGCTATGTTATTTTTGGAAAAGAAAGCACAGAATGTATTAAAATATTGTCAAACTGTCTTGATTTAACTAGTACATTTGATGAGCTAAAGGATGTACCTTTGATTTGTTCTATGAGTAAAATAATTCAACTTTGGTTTCTAGAAAGATAAGCAAGAATTAATTTTTTCAACTTGAAAAAGGAACCAATTTTTTGTTAAGTAACAGCTTAATTACCGATATCCGTAATATCAAATGTATATTGTACATTTGATATTAAGGATATTCTGTGGCAGGTGGGAAAAGCAGCTGAAATGAAAAATAAAATCTTTACTTCAAACTCAGAGAATAAAAACATATCAATAAATGGTATCTCCTTTAAAGGTGGTAATATTATGAAGCAAAGAAATTGTAAGTTATTCCCAAACCACAAACCATAAAGTAGCTGGTAAAAATTCAGGAAAGACTACTTAAAATTTTTACTATAGGTCTAAAGGTTGTGTACTGTACAGGATCCTGGAGTAGCTTTTGGGAACACATCTTTTCACAACAGAAATTTTGCATTTAATATCACTTTTGTTGTAGACACAAAAAGAATTATGGTAAAATAATTTTCATATTAACTATCCTCTGGGGTGTGGGGGGTTTGTTCCTAACTGTTCTTAAGAAGTCACAGCGGCTTTTCGAGTCTATAATAAACACACATATTTTCTCTAGGGATATGCTCATAAAGCCGGCATCTGGCAAAAGGACTCCCTAAATTCACCTTAAGACAAAGTACAAGGGGATTTGGCATTTACTGTACTGTGGATAAAATGCCTTCAGACATAGCTCTGAAGATTCCACTAACTTCTATTACATATATCCCTGGTCACTTTCTTTTCCTTGCTTTGAACTTACTTTGCTACTTTGTGATTTACAACTTTCTGGAGGCCTGAACTATAAAAGCAATTTGTAACAGCACATACAAGCATGAAATCCCAATGGGGTGGTGGAGTGAAGGAAAGGCCTGAGGCCAGACAGTAGGAGGGGGAAGTATATTACGCGCCTATGAAACCCATCTTTGCGAAGAAGTGAAGTCACTAAAACCTAGTTTATAAAGGAGCGTTTTTACAATTGAAAGAATGTTTTAGGGGCCTGAAAGTGCCACTGTTTCAAAGAGTAAACTGAAGGTGAAGAGTCCAGTGTTAAGAAAAAAAAGAACAAAAACAACTGAAAGAAGCAGGTAGGGCAATGAACAGAAACGCAGAAAAGGAAAAAGAAAAGGCGGATACTCGATAAGCTCCGGCGTTTCAGAAGGTGGATGCCCAATGGAAACCACCGGTTAAAACAAACTACTGCAAGTCTCCTACACACACAAAGGGCAGGAAAGAGCGTCTTCAGGAGGGCCGGCGTCTGGACCTGCGTTCTTCCAGAAAGATGGGCCCGGACTCTGCAGGAGGGGAATCCTGCTGGGCACCGTCCGATCCCGGGAGGTGCGCGGCAGGGCCCCCGGGCCAGCGCACCCCGAGACGCCGCACTACCCTCCACCCCACGCCAGCCCAAAGTCGCTGCACGAAGCTCCGCCGCGACGCGGCAGCCCCACTTCTTACCATAGTGAGCCCGGCACTGGCCCAGCCACATCAGCCTTCCGGGCCGGGGCGGAAGAGGTGGGCACGCCGCCTGCCCTTCCCGCTCCCTCCAGCCGCCTGGTTGGGTCTATTGCCGCACCTCCGCCTCGGCCTCGCCACCCTGACACCGTGATAGGCTCCTCTCTACCGGAAAGGGCGGGATCTACGCTATGCAGTGGACCGCACGGAAGCAGCGGACTGTGTCAATCTGCCGCGCAGGTTTATCTGTGGGCGCAGGCTATTAGGAGGAGGCCGGAAGTGCAGTCACTGAGAGGTAGGGCCCGGAAGTGGCAGTGGCCTGTTTCAATAAGGAATGCTGTTTATTGATATTTACCCTGATAATTACCTCTAGGGACACTTAGAGCACGGACTATACCCACCAAATATTACCCAGTCTGTGAGCTCTTTCTTCGTCTCGTTTCTGGAGCCTCTGGGATGTCAGAATTTCTTAGGATGTGCACCTGTTGGGTCCTTTTCGTTTCTTGTTTTACACATGGATTTTCAAGAGTGCGAGGCTCATTGAAAATGATTTGTATTATTATGTGATGGACACCCGAAACCAGAGGGCTGTGTTCAGTATGTTGATCCTTTCCAAATCCCCCTTTATTGCAGACTGCAATCCTGACTGAGCTGTTCAAGTCTCGTGAGAATAAAAGCCTTCGTACCTAGTAGAAATAAGCTGAGGGCAGTGATAGGGTAGTATAATCCCGTTAGGTGAGGCTATTTTACCTCTAGATTTCTGTGTTTTCTACATAGAGGGAACATATGTTCCAGTTTACATTGTTCTTGGAATAATAGTGAAGTCGGGCCGAGTTCACTCTTTCCCCTAAGTATCAAAATTTTGGAAACCCCTCTCTAAATACTGGTCTATTTTTTTTACCAGGCAAAATGGTTTTCGTTTTCTTCAGAATGTTACAGATTTTTTAATTTATTGATTGAGAAGATGGGTAGAAAGGACAAGGGAAGGAAACTAATGTGAAATGTTGATTTGTAATCGGCCATATTAGGAGACTTTACAACACAATGATCTAGGTTTGTGCTGTATGTTATTATGTTGTTTACTATACGGCACAGAAAGATTTTGTTTAAAAGTCATAATCTTATTTTGAATCCATTATACAGAATTGCCACGACTGAATAAGATACACAAATCAGCAAGTATTAACTAAGCTTCTGCATTATTTGTGGTATCAAGAGACTGCAAAAGAAGAACAGATGTTTTTTTTTTGAGTAATTTAATAGGGATGTGGAAGAGGCTAAATAGAAAATGATAAAATACATAGTATCTCCCATCTGTTAAAGAGGCCATTTAATACTGTCATAATTGCTTTGTATTATACCTTAATATTCAAGTTAAATGAATGTGGAGGTTCCAGCTTAGCTATGGTAATTATGTTCTGCAACTCAGGAAGCTTGGCTTCTGCAGTTATTAAAGTACTGGTAGATGTTAATAATGCCTTTTCTTTCATGTGAAGATTGATTAGCATCACCTTTGGTATTTCAGGGTGGTATTTCTGTATGAGGTTGTGCTTCAGATTCCTGTAAAGAGCACCAAGAAGCAAAAGTTGTTAGAGAGCATAATTGATTTGTTATATTTATGTGCAATTTTGGCCACATTAGGCCATAATTCTTACATACTTCAGTTTCAGAGTAGTAGTGAATAATAGCATTTGCCAGTTGCTAAGTTATCTTTAGAAGTACACAAATGTCAATAGAGAAGACTGGACATATATGTGTAATACTTACTGTATTCATGTAAAAAAAGCAAACAAAAATAATCTAACGTGTTAAGACCAATGAGGAGGTGATAGTTAAGCTGCATGGTCATTAGGCTCACAGGGCCTCTGATTTTGATTTTTCACTGGTGTTGATCTAGTTTTAGTATTATATCAGCACTATTTAAAACTTTATTTTTCTGTTAGCTCTGCTGTGATTTCTCATTTCAAACCATCTTGGATCATTTTTCTACTATTAATAAAACATCACTGTGTTAGTCCATTGCTCAAACATTATTGTCTACCCTGCATTTGTAAGAGATTTTTCAATTTTGGTGTTGTCATTTCCTCAGGGTTGCATTTAAAATGATACATTTTTTTTCTGCAAAAAATGGGCTTATCTGTAGTTTTATGGTATACATAGACCTTTTTACTCCTTGAGGGGTGGGCTAATGATGGAGGAATGATTGATGCCCACATATTAGTCACAAAATAAAGATTTTAGAAGTTAATTTTGTTTCTTATACTGCTGGACCAGTTTCCCCAGGTTTTCTCTTTTCACTCTGTTTCTAATATTGATACTGATAATTGATAGTATTATTGATTGTTTCTTTTTTGCTTTTTTCTTTTGTCATTTTGAGACAGGGTCTCCCTGTAGCCCGGCTGGACAGGAACTCACTACGTAGACCAGGCTGGCCTTGAACTCACAGAAATCCTCCTGCCTTTGCCTCTGGAGTGCTGGTATCAAAGGTGTGTGCCACCACACCTGGCTTGATGATTTCTTTTTATCTTAGTTACTTTTTGCAATTTGCTAATACTTAAATATATATTTTTAGAAAGGCTTTTCTTTCTTTCTTTTTTATATTCAACCAGACTCCATAGACTGAAGTTACAGCTCTTTGGATTTGATCATTATCCTCCCTGACTCCTATGCCTTTTTTCCCCTTCCACCATTACTCTTGGATTATGGCAGGCAAGGTTTGATTGAAAGGCATGTTATTTCTTTCATCATAAGAAATGTTTCTTTTAATCTTCTGCCATTTTTTTGTGGAAGCACTGAAACGTATGTGAAGTTCTCCATGTTTTATGTCCCAATTTCCTTCCTTTCATTGGTTCATGTGTTCACTCCAAGTACTGCTTCCACACTGCCCCAAGGTGCTCTTACTTATGTCACAAGTGATCTCTGGATGTTCTCATTCCCAGTCATCAACATATTTGGCCTATCAGTAACTTTGGACACAATTGATCATTTCATTCTCCCTCATGGCTCTTCTTGTTTTTGTTTAACTTGATCTATGGGACCACAGTCACTTGCTTTCCCCTCTATCTCCATTGTTGGCCCATCTAGGTTCATTCTGCTGGATCCTTCTGTTCTTTCCAAACTATTGTTACTTGCTCTAGGGCTCAATTTTTTTTTATCCTTTTCCTTTTTGTATTTCCTTTAGATGATATCAAGACATTGAATTTAAACATCTGCACATCAGTGACTTATACATTGGTATTTCTATTCCCCTCTCTCAACTCTAAATTCACATATCTAGTTGTCTACCTCTGCATTTATATCCCTTTTTTTTTCTTTAGGTGTGTGTGTGTGTGTGTGTGTGTGTGTGTGTGTGTGCCCATGTGCACACACCTGCTTGTCCATATATGTAACATTTGTGGGCAGGTGCTGGTAGAGGCCAGAAGAGGGTGTTGGATCCCTGGAACTGGAGTTATAGGCAGCTGTTAGCCACATGATATGTGTGCTGGTAACCAAACCTGGTCCTGTGCAAGAGCAGCAAGTGTTTTTAACCACTGAGTCATCTCTTTAGCTCCTTCATTTACTTTTTTAAGAGATATTCAAATGTTCTAAAGAGAACTCCTTTCCTCCTAAACTTGTTTCATATTTTTCTTTTTTAAAAAAATTTTATTTTATTTTATGTGTATGAGTATATTGCCTGTATGTATGTGAAGGCACCCATGTTGGCACCCGTGTCATGCAATGCCACAGATGTCAGAAGAGGGCTTCCATTCCCCTGGAACTGGAGTTAAGGATGGTTCATAGCCACCATGTGGGTGCTGGGAATTGAACCTGAGTCCTCTGCAAGAGCAGTCAGTGCTCTTAACTCCTGAGCCATCTCTCCAGCCTGTTTCATATTTTCCTCATTTTTGTTGATGATAATACATTTCTGGAAGTTAAATCCTTGGAGTTATTCTTGACTCTTTTATAGTCCAATAAACCTATTAATAAATCTTGCTGATTTTGTGGGTAAAATACATCTAGAATTTGATGTTTTTTTTTTTTTTTCTTTTTCTGTAGTACACTAATAGTCTCTTGTGTGGATTTCTTTTATCAACCACTATATTTCTTGCTTGGATCACAGCATTATTGCTTTTACTGGTTTTTGCTTTCTTAGTATTTGCCTCTGGACACTGATCAGACTATTCCTTTTAAAATATAAGTAAAAAAATCATATTGATCTGTAGGATTCAAAATACACTGTGTTATCGTGCAGATTTCATCTTTGAATTGAATGACATTAACAATGGAAAAAGTGGTGAAATACAAATAAAATCTGAGGTTTGATAGTAGTGTATCAATATTGGTATCTGTGTGAGAAATGGAAACATAGATGAACATGCTTGTGTCTTTCCACAGTGTCAGAATTTATTGAATAATAATTCACAAGATTTAGCAGGATCAATGACAGCAGTTTGCCATTGAATTCACTTAGCTTGACTGAGAAAAATGCAGATTTTTTTTATTCCAGTTTTATTTATAATATTAGACTCATCACACAGCGCACAGTAACTCTCTCTCTCTGTGTGTGTGTGTGTGTGTGTGTGTGTGTGTGTATGTGTTGCAGAATGAATACAAGTTAAAGTGGTAGCAGCAGAGTTCAAGAGGCTTCAGAAGTGAACTGAAAAAAAGCGCATAGATAAGATAAGGAACCAGACCAGTGCCAGGAGGGAGTTGTGGTGGAAACTGCTCTCAGGTTTGAGAGTGAGCCTGGAGAATCCAAGGATAAAGGCTGAGCAAGATCAGCAAAGGCAAAGGGTCAGGTCCCCATCCAGAGGGGCAAGCAGATGGACAGGCAGGCAGTGAGGAGGCTGTGCCAACAGCAGGGAACCAAATGAATTTGGAGCATCCTCAGTCCTTGACGTACACACCAGGTGTCAGATGATAGGTTGGTGTGGGTCCATGCCATGATAGTGTTAGGTGTCCTGTCTATCACTTTATGGGGTCCAGGTAAGGGAGTTGCACCCTTTTCTCAATTTGGTATGTTTGATAAGTTCTTGGGCCTGCTTTCCCTGGTAGGATTTTAATATGCCGGTGTGCCCCACAGTTTTAAGTCTCCCTTGTAAACTTATAGGGTGGCTCCTTTGTTTTTATTTTATATTGTAAAATTTTAAATTGAATTTTGTGTATTTCATACAGAACAGCATAAACTTAATCATCTTTATACCCAATTCCCCATTGGCTCCTTCCCATAGTCCCCCACCCCACTGGAATTCATACCTTCTGTCATTTGTGTTAAGGCCTATTGTGTCGTTAGTGTCCCCAGACATCTATCAGTGGAAGTTCATCCACTGGGGTCTAGGCAGCCTATCTAGAGTTACCTCTCTTTAAGAAGATCAGCTCTTCCTCACCCAGCAGTAATCAGCTGCCAGTAATTCTTCAACTAAGATCGAGTTTTACACATTTCCACAATTCTGTGCTGGGATTTTGCTCCTTTTTTCTTCCTAGGAATAAGATATTTATCAGTCTGTGTGAGATGGGTGGTGCCTGGCAGATAGTACAGTTTCTGGGTCTACCTGGCGGGTGCAGTAATTCTCCCTCAGAATGAAATAAAAAACTGATTGTAAAGTTGAGTTTCTTAGTTCAATACATAGTGTGAAAAAAGTTTTATACAATATGGAGTAATTTAGAGTAGGGAATAGCCTGATCTCAACGTCTAAGTTTTAGTAAATAAATCATGGAAATATAAGATATTAGAGAAAACACATGAGACTTTAATGAGACCTCTCTGTTATCCATGCAACTTTGCTGTAAATTCAAAATTATTCCAAAATAAAAGGTTTATTTTTTTTTAATGAGTGTAATTTCTTTGCTCACAGAAATTTCTATAATGTCATTTGGTTCATACTAAAAAGGTGGTGTCCTTAGATTGACCTAGAGGCTCTAAGGCTTTGGTCTTCCCTTATCTCTCTAATCTCTGGTCTTTGAATTCACTCTGGCCCTTTCTGTTAACCAGCCAGTAGTACTAGTTTGTTCCTTAAATACAACAGGCCCACTTTTACCTCAGTATCTTCATATTGTGGCTGCTTTCTTTACTTGGAATGCTTTTTCCTGAACATCCATACAGGTAATTCCTTTTCTTCTTTTATGTACTTCCTCAGATGTCATCTTTACCATAAGTAGGGTAGCAGTTATCCCATTTAAAATTGTAGCTTTCCAGTGTCACCCACACTGAGCCCTTACCTCTTCACTCCCTACCTCCTCTCCCAGGTTTTATTTTATCTTTTTACTCTAGCATGTATTAGTGTACTATGTATTTTATATATGGGTTACATGTGTTTTTGATTATTTGCCTTCCTCTATTAAAATGTAAACACTTTTGGAGGGGGGAGGCTGAACATTTTATTCTAAAATATTTGTTAGAGATAGTTCTGAGTAAATTTTGGTGAATGAACTTGAATTTTGAATTTGTGATTCCTGATTTTCAGTCTGAAATACTGACTCATTTATTATTTTTCTGTTATTTTTTTGCCTACAAGCATTTGTTCACACATACTCTTCTATGTGAATTGTAAATTCTTCATTGTAAATTCTTTTCAACTTTTTATTTTAACTTTTATGTCTGCTGTAAAGTGAAAGGAGCCATCCTTACAGATCACGCTGCTTAAGTACCACTTTTCAGAGGAGCTCTTACCATGACATGTTTTTCCAGCTCATAATTTTATTTGGGTGTTTATCTTAGAAGGTTGGACTGTATCTTTTAGCATTGCACTGTCAAAGCTTAGGCACTAAGGAAGTAGTAAATGAAAACCTTACTGGCAGGGTAGAAGACTCTCAGGCTTGAAGTGGCAGCATTCTAATTTTATATGAGGTCTTCTGAGAATAAAATCAATGCTTTATTTACTATAGCACATTCCCTATAAAGAAGGAGGCTGTTTTTTAAAATATAGGAAAGATAATAGTTTTCTACAAGTAGCAGGTAGTTAATACATTTTTCTGGGGAATTTGTCCTTTGTCATTTGTGGGCGTGCTCTTGCTATTGAGGAAGTTCTGCTTTTTTTAAAAACATTATTAAAAATCAATGATCAGAGAACTACAGCTAGCAAAATTTTAATGTGATATCTTTTGGCCTTTTGGGAGGAATATTATTAAGACTTGTGTTGCCAAAAAAACAAGTCCATGCTAGAGTTTCAAAGTGCTCATGAGGTATTCATGCTATTAAGTTAGATGTCATCACTGCTGTTGCCTTTGTAGTAAACATTGGCTTTTACATCATTGGGAAATCCCAAGGTGTTCAAGATTTTGCAAAAGATTTCTCCAGTGATACAGATATTTGCTCTTAAGTCTGTGGAGAAAAGTGATGTTGATGTATTTGGTTGAATATCATGGCGTATCACTGGTGATTTGCACATGATTGCTACTGAAGTTAACAACAGTTTGATTCAAATTAGAGCAACACTTAAAACTTTTTTTTTTTTTTTTTTTTTTTTTGAGACAAGGTCTCCCTATAATCCTAGCTGACCTGGACTCACTATGTAGACCAGGCTGGCCTTGAACTCACAGAGATCCACCTACCTCTGCTGGGTCTAAAGGCATGCACCACGACGCCCGGCGACACTTCAAACTTTTATAACAGCCATCGGAACCATACAATCTTACACCTTTTTTGCAGGATTCAAGAGAAAGATTAAAGTCAACAGTCATTGAATGACAGTTCTAAAGTAGACTGAGGATCATATATTATGGCTATCATAACATAGCCGCTAATTGTTTCTCTTCATATGGCAGAGTTCAATGGATTGTATATAGTAATCTAATAATCAAATTACATCATATTGTGACATTTTTATTGTGAAGAATCGACGAAAAACAATTGAGGTCACATATTGTCAGAAGCTAGATATTTTCCATAAGCATCTTGATAAATATTAAAAACTAACTTGTTTATAGTTTACAAAAGCCTGTTGTGTGTGTGTGTATACATGTCTATGTGAAGTCAAGTGTTTTCCTCTATCACTCTCACCCCATCAGCCTTCACTGAACCTAGAGCCAATTGGCTAGACTAGCTGGCCAGGGAACTCCAGGGATCTTACTCTGCCCCCACCACTCTTGCAGGCACAGATGCCCTTGGACATGTCTGTGCTAGAGATCTGATCTCAGGTTCTCATGCTTGCATGGCACTTCACCCACTAAGCCGTTTCTCCTGCTCACTATGTTGACATTTATATAATTTTTGTTTTCTAGAACATGATACCCCTTATACCATTTATTCTGTAATGATAACAAAGTTGTTGATCTTCAGAATTTTGGGTATTTTAGATTTTGTGACACTGTAAGCATAGTAGACAGGACATGTAAAACTCACTTGATGTTGGATATGACGTATTAACATGATATTTCCTAGCGTGTTCTCATCATGATGGCACATACACCTTACTTACAATTTTTTTGTATGTTTTATGAGATGATTTAGGTTAAGAGACCTAATTAATTTGCTGAAGTACACATACTCAATGAATGATAAGGATTCATACTAAGTGTACATGTCAATGCTTATTCCAAAGCCTGATCAAACAAAAAAGCTTAAGCAGAAGGGAATTTCTGGGTCTCATAAATAAAGCATCCATGGTAAGATATTGGGAAGGGCAATCTGGAATTAGTTCTGAGCTGTTTCCTGCTTTCTTTCTTGTTAATTTTGTTTCAAACAGCTGAAAGCACAGACCACCTTAACATCATAACAACAAATCCACCAGCGAAGAATGTGTGCCCTTTGTAAGGTAAACAGAACCCTAAACAATTGGGCTTCTTAGTCATAGCTGTCTGTCTTTGAATTGATCATTGATTCTGTATTCTACAGGATATAACACTGGTTTAGCCTACCTCTGTATTCTCCCTTTAGAACCTGCCACACAGTGATCTTCTGAAGCTGCCAGGCTGAGAATACAATTGGGAGTCATTCAAAGCTCTGTTTCTTCAGAGGAAAGATTCTGTACTGGTCGGCAAAGATCAACAAATTCTTTCTAAATGTTGGGTAAATGAACAAAATTGCTTAAAATGTAGGCCATGTACCATGGGACTGATAGCCTTTTTGCACAAAGCTTATGAATATTAACAGTGCTGAATTATCCAATTGGGATTCTGTGCTGTTTTGGGGGAAGTGAAAAGGAAAAGTCAAGCTAGGGTCATTCAAAGAAGCACAGATAAATGTAGAAATTAAATTAATTTGGCCATTTGGATTAGAGCCTTTTATTATGTGCCATAGACGATGTCAAGTATTTGATTCATACTGGCTAGATCAACATTCCAGGATTGCATAATTCTAATGATATGCTATAAAATAGGAAGTTGTAGAAATATCAACGTTCAACCGGCTTGATGGTGCACACCTTTAATTCCAGCACTTGGGAGGCAGAGGCAGGCAATCTTTGTGAGTTCGAGGCCAGCTTGGTCTGCATAGTGAGTTCCAGGCCAGCTGGGGCTACAAGGAGGCCCTATCTCAAAAAGACCAAAAAAAAAATTTACATGTGTATGTATTTCATATAGAACATCTCAGTTGATCTTATTTAACTTTTTACCACCGTCACCACTGGCATGTTCCCATAGCCCCCCCCCCACTGGAATTAATACATTCTGTCATTTTTCTTAAGGCCTATTGTGTCAAATTAGTGTCCTTAGATGTTCCTCAGTGCAAGTTCCTCTACTGAGGTCTAGTAAGCCTATCTAGAGTCTCTTGCTTTAGAAAGATCAGCTCTTCTTCACCTAGAAGTAATCAGTTGCAAGTATTTCTTCAGCTAAGATTGGAGTCAGCTGTCCATTTCCCCAGTTCTATGCTGAGTTTTTGTCTGCTTGAGTTTGCATGGTCCTGTGCATGCTGACACCATTGCTGTAGATTCATATGAGCAGGGTCCCAGGAGCTCATAGAACTCTATTTCCATATGGTCATGTACCTCCTCCCTAGCTCTTAAAATGTTTCTGCCTCTTCTTCTGCAATGGCCCCTGAGCCCTGGGTGGGTGCAGTTTAATATAGGAGTCCTGTCTAAGGATCAGCTTTCTACAGACTCTTAGTCTCTACTCTTTGGCCATTTGTGACCTTTTGTGTTCCTGGCCCTCTGTTGCATAAGGGACCTTCATTACTGAGAATTGAAATACTCATTGTTGTCTCCTTTACCCCTGTTCTCTTGTTCCTGAGCCTTGGGTGTAGAGGTTGCATTATATTATTATTACTATGTGCCACTGAGACTTGGGCAGTTCGCAGAAAATATCTGTGTGTGACTAGTTGTGGTACTCTGTAATAGTCTGGTTCAAAAGAGGCTTCTTTGATGAGCAGTGACTAGGGTATTTGTAAATATAAGGATGCATATTTTGCACATAGTAAGAAATGCATTAATCTAGGGATGTGACAGTTTTCAGGTCTTCTGTAAGCTCCATGACCTCTTCAGCCATGTGTATTTGGCTATGTTTACAGTACCACACATGAGTTTCCTCCCATTCAGTGGGCAAGTAGGTAATTGTTGATTACCACCAAGATAAAAGTGCCAGTACTACACGAGTGTCGTATACTATGCAGGTCATTGATGTGGTTATTTGGCCGTGAAGCTGGTGTTGGACCATTGGTTGATATTCTCCCTTAACACCTTGCATAGTGCTCTCCAAAGCTATGGAGAGTTAGCCTTCAGGGGAAGTGACTTCCATGTCAGTTCCAGTTCCATTGCTCCAAATCCTGTATCCGAAGTATGTCCTGTCTTCAGCAATAGGGTCATGCCTTCAGGTTCTGGGAGGCAATAAAGAATTATGGCAATAGGCTGTGTAGTTTTGGGAGTTTCTTGGACCACCCTGGCCAACAGCTCAAAGGAAGGTTTCTCCTGTCTGGCACAGTTTCTTTATGTAGCCTTTAGTCTTTAGTTATACACATGGATTTGTTTTGCAATAATGTTTGTATAATTTGTCATTAGGTTGTTGGACTAATAATATGATTTCCTCTTTTTTTTTTTCACACTAGCTAGACATGATTTATCTCTCTCCCTGTCTAACCCTTCCATCATGACTTCCCTATTTAGTGTCCTCTTTTTTCCCATTTCTCCCTTGATAATACCAGTCTTCTACGGTTCCACCTTTCTTGAGCTCCTTCTCAACCTTTATCTCCAAAATTCCTTGTATAACCCTTCCTCCTCCCTCCCATTTAAATACTCCCATCTTATCCATTTTTCCCTTATTAACATCTGTCCTTTACTGTTCTTCTCTTTCAGGTTCCTTCTTTCCCTTTACCTCTCTGGTTCCTTTTTAGTATCCTGGTTCCTGTAGTTTCATCAGGATGCATAGTCACATATAAGGGTTTGTGCTAGGATCCACATATGAGGGAGAACACATGTGATTTGTTCTTTTGAGTCTGTGTTACTTCACTTAGTATGAAGTTTCTAGTTCCATCCATTTACCTGCAAATTTCATTTTGTTTACTGCTGAGTAGAATTCCATTGTATAGATGTACCACGTTTTCATTATTCTCTAGGCAGGTGAGGGACATTTTGGTTACTTCCATCTCTTAGCTATTGTGAAAAAAGCATTAACAAACATGGATGTACAAGTATTTTTGCAAGCTGGGTGTGGCGACACATGGCTTTAATCCCAGCACCCCTAGGCAGAGGCAGGCAGAGCTCTGTGAGTTCACAGCCATCCTGGTCTACGTAGTGAGTTCCAGGCCAACCCCAGGACAGGAAGACCCTGCCTCAAAAAGATCAAAATAAATAAATAAATAAATAAATAAATAAATAAATAAATAAATAAATATCCCTGCAATAGGATGAGTCATTTGGGTATATGCCAAGGAGTGGTATAACCAGGTCAAATGGTAGGTTCATTTTCAGAATTTTAATGGTAGGTTCTCCACACTGTTTTCAATTGGGGTTGCACCAGTTTGTAATCCCACCAGCAGTGAATGAGCAGTCCCCTTTCTCCACATCCTGTAGCATTTGGTATCATTTCTTCTCTTGATCTTAGCCAGTTTGACTGGGGTAAGATGAAATCTTAAAGTGGTTTTACTTGCATTTCCCTATTTATGAACAATGTTGAATACTTTTTAAGATGTTTCTTAGCCATGTTTATTTCTTCTTTTGAGAGGTCTCTGTTTAGATCCTTAGCCCATCTTTTAATTGGGTCACTTGCTTTCTTGGTTCTTTGTTTTGAGTTCTTTATATATTCTGGATGTTAAACCTCTGTCACATGTGTCACTGGTGAAGATTTTCTTTCACTCTGTGAGTTTTCTCTTCACTTCCTTGGTTGTTTCTTTTGATGTACAGAAGCTTTTTAGTTTAATGAGGTCCCACTTGTTGATTCTTGACCTTAATTCCTGAGCAACTGATGTCAGATTTAGAAAGTCCTTACCTATACTTATATCTTGTAGGTTATTGCCAATGTTTTCTTCTAACAGTTTTAGAGTTTCAGGTTTCACATTGAGGTCTTTGGCCCATTTGGAGTTGACTTTTGTGCAAGGTGAAAGATAAGGGTCTAGTTTCATTCTTCTACAGGTGGAGATCTCATTCTTCTACAGGTGGAGATCCAGTTTTGCCAGCACCATTTGCTAAACTTGCTCTTTCCTCCAATGAGTGTCCTTGGCCCCTTTGTCAAATATCAAGTGGCTGAAATTGCATGTACTCATGTTTGGGTCTGCAATTATGTTCCATTGATTTACAGGTCTATTTTTGTGCCAGTGTTATGCTGTTTTTGTGTCTTTAGCTTTGTAATACAGATTGAAATCTGGTATAGTAACTCCCCAGCATTGCTCTTTGTGCTCAGGGTTACTTTGACTATTTGAGGTCTTTTGTGTTTCTCTATGAGTTTTAGGATTTTTTTTTTCTAATTCTGTGAAAAATGTCATGGGGATATTGATTGGCATTGCATTGAAGCTATAAATGGCTTTTGGTAGGATGTTCATTTTCAGAATATTAAATCTTCCAATCATGAGCATGGGCGGTCCTTCAATCTTCTGGTGTCTTCTTCCCCTATCTCTTTCTTTAAAGATTTAGAATTTTCATTGTAGAGATCTTTAATGTCTTGTTAGGTTTATTTGTGCTCTTTCTGATTTTTTTAAATGTAGGCACTTAGAGCTATAAACTTCTCTCCTAGAACTGCTTTTAAAGTGTCCCACAGATTTTGTTGTGCTGTATTGTCCTCTCTTTTTATTCCAGGAATACTTTTATGTCTTTCTTAATTTCTCCTTTGACTCATCATTCAAGAGTGTGTTGTTTAATCTCCATTAGTTCATGTAGTTGCTAGGGCTTCTCCTGGTGTTGATTTTAAGCTTTATTGCATTATGGTCTGATAGAATGCATGGAATTACTTCTTTTTTTTTTTCAATTCATTGAGATTTGTTTTGTGCCCCAGTATGTTGTTGATTTTTGAGACAGTCCCATGGGGTGCTGAATAGAAATTATATTCTTTTGGTGCTTGGGTGGAATATTCAATAGATGTTTGTTAGGTCCATTTGATGTATGGTATTGTTTAATTCAAATGTCTCTCTGTTTATTCTTTATCCATTTGATCTGTGTAATGGAGACAGTGGGGTATTAAAGTCATCTACTCTCTTAGCAAGTTGGGATTAATCTGTGCCTTAATGTCCTGTAGTACTGTTGTTATGAAGTTATATGCACCAGAGTTTGGTGCATATATGTTCATGATTGTAATATGTTCTTGGTTAATTGTTCCTTTGATCAGAATGAAGTGACCTTCTTTATTTCTTCTGATTAGTTTCAATTTGAAACTAATTTTGTCCCGAGATTCTTTTCTTTCCTCTATACCTATGATGTGTAAATTTTGTCTTTTCATGGTGTCCCACATTTCTTGCATATTCCATTCCTGTGTTTTTAAAAGTTTTTCATAATCTTTACTTGTGCAGTCCAATTTTCCAACTTTATCATACAGGGTGTGGGGGTGGAGAGATTAAAAAATATTAACATTCTTATTACTTCAGGTTTCTTTAGTGTGATGTTAACATGCAATGATTGAATATATGAAGAAGCTCATATTGAATATGTTTAT